CCAATGCCTGGTGTAGGATCGGGTTAATACCTGGTGTAGAATCGGGCTAATACCTGGTGTAGAATTGGGCTAATGCCTGGTGTAGGATCGGGTTAATACCTGGTGTAGAATCGGGCTAATACCTGGTGTAGGATCGGGCCAATGCCTGGTGTAGGATCGGGCCAATGCCTGGTGTAGGATCGGGCTAATGCCTGGTGTAGGATCGAGCTAATGCCTGGTGTAGCTAATCATTTTCGATGTCAGCAAAGTTCATAGCAAAAAAGTGAAGGAGGATGCAGTTCTCAATTGTCAAATTTAGGTATTCTCACTTGTCATTGGTCCAGAGTGGTGTTCCTTCACCACTAAGACGCTCCACAGTCCTTTAAATCTTAACTCCCACTCATTCCTCATGCAAACATTCAAATCTTTGCTCTTCGTGAAACCACAGCTTCAGTTTTCACGTATTGTCAGTGCTGCTTTATCGGGACTGAGGTCGGAAATGGTTCCGAGATTTTAATCTCTAATGTGAAATGTTAAAAAAAAAAAAAGTCCTATCAGACCACAACCTTCCACCAAGTTCTGTGTAAATCCATTCTTTTGTTTCAGCTTCCTGCTGGAGGTGAAGAATCTTTGGGCCAAAACAACAAGGTAATAATCAGAGTTTGGAGAAAACACTACAAACATCATTAATCTGGTTTTAGCTCCGTCAAGCTCGTTGTGTGACTGAGCTTTAAAACATTCATGTACATATGCAGTTATCTCACTTCTAAAGTTTACAGTACATCATTTCAGTTGGATATTTAATTTACAACAACAGCAGTCACATCCTGAATCGTTCACTCAGCGAGCTGCACAGGCGCTTTTGTCGTAAACTGTCAAAGTTCTGATATTCTCATAATCTTGCTCATGAAGAGCGATGCACATAATTCACAATATTTCATCCAGCAAACTTTCATCTCATCCGTGTTGTTGTTCCGCAAATGTGACGTTAATATTTGTGGAACTGTGGGAAAGAGGGTCCAGGCGAAGGCAGCATGAGTAAAAGGTGAAATCAGGGTTTTCAGTGTTGACTGATTTCCGCAGTAAAGAAAAACACAGATGGATTTGAATACTGTAGTATAAGGCATAACTAAATCTCAATACAATTCAGTCTCTACATTTGTGTCTGAGAGATGATTTTGTCGTTTGTGTGGACGGTGTCTTTGTGACTCTTGTAGGCCTCTTTGTCGCCTGGCGTGGGATTCTTGTATTCGCGGTACTCCACAATGGGGTAGGTGACGGCGGTCAGCAGCAGGACAGCCAGCAGGATGTACAGTTTGTAGCTTAGACACAGGAAGCTGCTGTAGGCGAAGGCGAGGACGAAACCCAGAGACTCCCACATGCGGTAGTTGGCAAACGCTGCCTCTTTGTCCCGAGGGAAGAGGACGCCGTAAAGTGCTGCAGTACAGGAAGCAGAGAAGAAGTCACACAAGGGGGAAGTTCAGGTGTTTCAGTGTTTCTCATCCTGAAATATTTGGTTTGTGGGTTTTTTTGAATCAGTTTTGCTTCTGTCGCTCACAGAGAATCCTCTGGAAAATCTCCTGGCTTCTCACATGGGCGCATTCAGACATTATGTGGAGTCCTTACTTGAGGCCTGGCAGGAGAAACTCTAGAGAAAGTGGTTCTTACGTACTCCGGAGAATGTCAGGAGATTATCCAGAGTTCAGCGCAGGTCTGAAAGCAACATTCTGGTCTTGAGGATAAACTCCAACAGCTATCGGACAAATTATTCCGCTGATTTACGGTAAGATCATTTTCTGTGGTAGCGCTCAGAGCTGCCATGTGCTGTGAACACACTGCACACCAGGGGGCTGGTGGGAGATTCTTACCATTGGTCTGAGTTTGCCAGATAGCATCGGCCGCTCCCCACAGAGCGGAAAACACAAAGAACACAACCGTCTGATCAGGTTCAGGCCTCCACAGCAGCAGAGCGATGATGCAGGAGAAGTTGAGCAGTGCAGCTGAAAACCGACAGATTCAACACGACGTTAACAGAATAAATCTTTCAAACCCGTCGCTCATTCTGTGTCTGTGTCGCTTTACCGAGGAGGAAGAGAGTAGCTCTGCCCACGTACTGAGCCAGTCTCCCGAAGAGGAACGAGCACAGAGAGTTCGAGGCTCCGAAGCACATCATCACGTAGCCTACGAAGTGGATCCCCAGAGCGCACGTTACATAGTTCTGCAAAATAACGAAAAGTGTCCGAGTCAGAACAAACAACATGAAGTAACGCTGCTCGTTTCATTGTCAACAGCCGTTGTCGCTCATTTAAATTGTGGTTGTGTTCCTGTTCTATGGCTGCAGGTGTGGTGGTTAGATTGTGGCTGTTGTGGTTGTGTTGTTGTTGTGGTTCACTAGCATTTTGGTTTTGTCGTGTTTCTGTCATGGTTGTGTTTACATTGTAACTTTTGTGGTTGTGTTGTTTTCCGTGCTTGTGTGAGACATCTGGGCCACCTCACAGTTGTGTCACATTCAAACCACTTCATGCTCTGAATTCAGTTCAGGAAACAGCCTGTCGTGTGTGTTTTTGGTAAAACCCTTCATTAGAGCTACAGCGGCTGCAGCTCCTCTCACCTTGGTGTACTCCCCAGCGAGGAAGCTCTGCTCGAAGCCGCTGTACATGGTGAGAGGGATGAGCATCAGCAGCCTCCGGTCTTTCAGAAGCCTGAACGTGGCCAGGAAGGTTCGACTAAAAGGTTCCCGGCTGCCGCGGAACTCGCTGGCCTGCTCCTGGTCGATGTTGTCCAGGAACACTGAGATGATGAGAATGGCCACAACTCCCACACCTGCCACACAACAACAACACAACAACAACGACTGTAGAGCTGCACAAGTTCAAGTTTAATCTCCAGACAAATCTGTAAAACAGTTTTAAAGATAATCTCAAAAAACATAATAAATGCTGGTTTGAAAAAGGAGCTTATTTATGTTTATCATTAATATGCAACTCCTGCGAAACACTCAATGGTTCGAATTGAGGTCACATGTAACGACGTTACCGATGTAGCATCCGAGGAGCGTCCACACCAGTTTCTGAGCCGGCCTGGTGGGGACGGAGCCGGAGGTGGAGTTGAAGTCACAGCTGGCCGCTCCGCAGTAAATCAGCTGCTCCTCCGGGATGTTCGCTGCCAGAAAAAAAAAAAAAAGATAAACACGTTTAACGCTGATAAAACGACAGAACGGTTGATCTGTCATAGAGAAATAAGAAGAAAAAAAATCAAATCTGTGCTGACTTTCATTAAACCTCCTGAAACTTACCTCATGGCCTCATTTGAACTCTTTTAATTTAAATATTTTAGTCTGTAACAAAACATACAAATAATTCAGCAGTTTGGACGAATGAGGAAATAAGAATCGAATAAATAACTTTGTCTTCTCATAAATGCAGCGTTGTGATTTCAGCTGATAAGCACCAATAAAATAATACGATGTGTAGTGACAGTCACCCTGTTCTTCTTCTTCTCCTCTGACCGGAGCTCATAAACAGAACAAGTCGTCTGTTAAACTTTGATCGGTGACAGAGTCAAACACAGGAAGTACATCCAGAAACATGTCAGACTCTCAGGAGGAGGAAGTAGATCTGGAAACATGTCAGACACACAGGAGGAGGAAGTAGATCCGGAAACATGTCAGACACACAGGAGGAGGAAGTAGATCC